ATAATATAAATAATTACAGACAAAATTAAAATATTTCTTTTAATAAAATTTACTAATATTAATTAAATTGTATAACTCGCATAGTACGGATAATCGGTTTTCGCACTGTTTGAAACCGGACTATTCGAGACTGACAAAGATAAATGGCAGAAAGAGACTTGATTGTATATTGAAGTGATTTTTTTCGAGCAAAAATATTTATTTTTTATTAAAATTTTGTTTGTTTTTTAAAAAACATATTTCAACCCAATTTTCTATTATTCATTTATAATTTTGATAAATAATTGATAACTTTTTGTTTTATTTTAGACATTTAAGAAATATTTAGACATAAGTTGCATTATTTTATGTTTTTAGTACAAAATTTACTAAATCCATAATTTAAAAAAAATATACAATTCAAAATTTATTTTATGGAAAAAATTTCATATTTAAAAGCTAATAATAATTCGCATAAAATTAATTTAATTACCTAAAGTATCCATAAAAAATGTAAAGTATACTTAATGGATTTTTAATGTTAAAAAGTTTATTAAGTTTGAGGTAATTTAGGCACCAACTGTTGAAGCTTCTTGGACACAATCCAAAGTCCATAACACTTCATTTTCGACGAACCTACTTGTATGTCTTCTAATAACACGTGACAGTATAATCTTGTATTATTGAGTCTTAAGCTGTTGTTTTGAGTAGTACAAAAACAGATCTACGATAAAATAATACTATGTTAACACTTTTCTTTCAACATCTTCCATAAGATAAAGCAATTGAAACCGCATTTTACTTCATCTTATCGTCAGTACATATGAGAAACTGTTATTCTTAAAAAAGATTATAAAAGCAAACAAATTTTCTAAGAAAATATAAATTAATGGAAAATTATTTTGTGACTTAGAAAATAACTTAAAAACGTTCATTTAATCATCAGAATTAAACTAATAAGTTGAACTTAAAATAGTCAAAGTAAAAAACCTAATAAGCAAGAATATAAAAAATTACATAAGAAATTATGGAAATACATGATGAAAAGAGATTAAAATGTATTTAAGAAAATGTGAGTAAAATTTATCCTGAAATAGATTTGAAAAAAAAATAATGAAACAAACTTGTTCAGTAAATCTATATTATTATGATAATAAAAATGAATTATGTAAAGACTTAAATATATATTTTCACTTAATAGTTATTTTGGTATCTAATATTTATTATAGAGATTGTATATCCTACAGCAAATATATTTAAATAAAAATAATTACTGAATTATTAGATTATTACGTGTAGTGTATATAGACCTAAATATTATAGAACTTAATATTTAAATATCGGTTTAACGAAAATTATCTCGATTTCTAACTAATAAATTATAGATATTAAATGTTTGAAGAGATAACGTTATGTAATAACAGTTCATTAAAAAATAAAGAATGTATGTAAAGAGAATATTTTATGGATTATTGGGCAATAAATAATAGCGCGATTAAATATATCAAGCAAGTATATATATATATATATATATATATATACTTTTTTAGTAATTGAATTTCTGGTAAAAAGAGAACTTCTGAATTCTTCAATATGGGAAACATTTATTGTTCAAGTTTTTTTAGAGCGTCGTGTTTGATCAACAACATACATTCTTTCCATCCAGACGACAAACAAACATATACAGCACATATAAAAATGCGAATGAAAACAAAACAAACTGAAAAATCTGTCTGACTAATAAGAAACATAAACACAGGACTAATAAAAACTGTATACTGTATAAATATAATATAAAATTTAGGAATATTAATAAAATGGTATAACTCGCATAGTACGGATAATCAGTTCTCCGTGGCAATCGTAAGCCCGACAACCGAAATTCCGTTTATCGAAATCCCGACAGTGTCTTTTATTATTATTATCGGGATTTTGATTGCCGGGATTATGGTAGTCGGGATTTCGATATAGTCGGGATTATGGTAGTCGAGATTTTGACATAGTCAACCGTCGGGACTGTAATACAGTCGGGATGTCGAACGTCGAGATTTCGATACAGTCGATATTTCGAACGTCGGGATTTCGAACGTCGGGATTTCAATAGACAGTCTTTCGGTTGTCGGGCTTGCTATATAGACCCATCAGTTCTCCGCACTGTTTGAAACCGAGACTGACAAAGATAAATGACAGAGAAAGAAACTTGATTGTATATAGACAAAAAAAACGAAACTTTATGTACAAACAATATTTTTGTGTATTGATTTTTTTCGAGCAAAAATATTTATTTGTTTCGAAATTTTCAAACCGCACTGATCGATTCGCACTATGTGAGGTATTGATTTATTTGAAAATATGTAATTTATTATAAAATAAAGAAAGTAAATATGGGAATTCATATATGAGTTTCTATTATGTAAAGTATTATTAAACCCTATTTGGTCTTATGGCATTTAACGTTTGGAAACTGCGCATCAAACATCGAAACAATTGCAGTTTAAACTCCTGAGAAAGATTGCAGGTGTATCTTTGTAAATTACCAACAAGAAACTGCACGAAAGAACTTTTAGTTTCGAAGAGATAATCGCATGTTTAGGAAACAAAAAAAAGATAGACTCGATTTATCTATAACTTATATTGAAATACCACAAAATTACACAGTTCAATGTTACAATTACTTAACATTATAAGTTGTAAATTTGAATTTTTTTTTAATAAATACGGTAGCTTGAAAATGATCAACTTGGACATGAATTACTGCATTGCTTGAGGTGTGCTAATTAAAAAGGTATTTAACGTGCTTCTAGATATAACAGACGCCTTTCACTTTAATTTTTATTGCTACTAAAAGGAAAAGAAATCAATGTAAAATAAAAGTTTTGTGAATAAACTAAATATATATGAATAAAATTACACTCCTGAAATTGTGTCTTGTAATATAAAGAATACTTTTTTGTATACAAATCAATGCAGTTGAATATTTGAATACTCCTCCACGTATAAAAACAGGTTTCAAACTACTCGTACAAAAGATGCATGGAACGCACTAGAAAATGTGTACTTGTCCCAACAGGTTTTGATTTCCAAAACGAAAAAAAAAACCTGTCCAGATGAAAACAATTCTAATTGATGCATCAGTGATTAACATTCAATTTAATTATTACATGAAAGTCAGATTTATATTTTCAAAAGAAAAATAGATTTGGGGTGAAACACGAACCACAAAAGGGTACCAAAAGCAAATTGAAATTAAAAATAAACCACACGTCGAAACATGTAAATTCGCTTTGAAGTCGATGGTTTCAATGGAATTGCGGCAAGAATCAATATGCTGAAATTGTGTTTCGAGTACGGCATTAAAAAAAAAAACTTCATTTGGTCGGAAACGTTAGTATCACACCAGAGTTATTGATTAATTCGTCTCGTTGAAATAATTTACATTTGGAAATGATACAAAAAGGATAAATAAATAATTGTGATTGTACAAGAAATTATGCAATTTTTTGTTTACATTTTGTGAAGGAAATTGTAAGATGTTTAAGATGAAAGGAAAAGAAGTATTTTGGAACAAGAGGGGAAAGTTTTTGATACAAGGGAAGTTTGTTATTTTACGGTTTTTGAAGGGGGGGAGGTATTACACGTTTTTAATTTATGCAAATTGTTTTTGCAAGGTTTGGGATTTAATATTAATGTTCTGGATAACAAAACGGATTTATGGTATTTATTTTAAGCTAATATTATTAAATTAATTTTGCAGGGTACTTGGAAATCATATTATATAGCTTGTGGTTGTACGTATTATTTTTTCTTTTAATTTACTCTACGTTTGTTAATGGTTCCAAGCTATTATTGATAAGAACGCTTCAATTAGAATACTTGGATCAGTGACCTTTAATCCTATATAACTCAGAATACAGTAATACTTCGCATAGTGCGGGTAAGCACCAATATCCGGGTCTATTTTAATCCGGAATTTGAATCTCATTATATTTTTAGACCAGATTATTGTAAATCCGGACTGTTCGAAGCTGCTAAATTATAATGAAACAACGCACTAATACTACATTGTACAATATGTATCTTTCCCTTCAATTATATTCAAATTGGTACTGTTTGATCACCTATTTATTAACTTTCCACACAATATATTGCTTAACTTTTGTATGTTAACACCAAATTTATGTAAAATTTTTAGTGTAAAATGGACTAGTTAGTAAAAATAAGAGAACTCTTATAAAAGAAACGTCAGAAGAAAATTTGGAATAAACTAAATCGTAACGCTTCTTTTATGATATTCTCAATATATTGGTAAAATGTCACTTAGACAAAAAAAAATACGTGGATTTACACAATAATTAAAAGTTAGTTATTTCGTAGAATATCTTTTATAGTTAAAGTATGAAATTGTTTGCTATTTTATACTTTATCTACTTATTTCATTAGATTCAAATATTCTAACTTTTAATATAATGTTACGAGATGTACTCATTTCAATTATTGTATATAATATTCTAGTTATAATCTTAGATCAGTTTATTATAGTTTATATACGTCATTTTATATAATAACTGGATGAAAGTATAAAATATTATATTTTTTAGTAAATTAATGGGTATTTCATGAAATATCTAACTATTACATTAATAGAAATTATTATAATACAAAATGTTTCATTGCATTGTATTAAAATTAAGATGAATTGGTAAAAGGATTGCAATTAAGCAAGGCCACTTGGGTGTAGGTTTGTTATTGTAAATAGAAAAACGAGGCGATCGGAACGAAACGCCCTAACAAATATTGATCTATAGCAATTGAATTTCCTTTCGTATATTATCAATGCCATATATCCACGAAGCGTTTTTGTTTGTTTTCAACGATGCGAGCATATTTAGTTTACTTATCGCTTCTGGAAAGGGCTGTAACGAAAACACGTATTTCATCGATAAGCAGCGCTTAATCAAACTAAGCTAAGAGTCGATTCTGGTTGACGAGAAGTTAGAAAATACAAATTCGATAGAAATTACCTTTTGAGCAGTTGAGTTGAACGGTGGCCGAGGAAAACCTGAAATTCAAATCAAAATGAACGGAGCGAAATATTAAATTACACATGTTTAGTTCTCTTGAAAATAACTTGAAGCAACGCTTGGATAAACCAGGGAGTATCGGGTTACGGATGACACTGGATATGACACATCAAGTATAAAATCGCGCATAATAAAACAAGCGGATTCGAAGAAATAAAAAAAAGGTCAAATGTTTTGTGGTCAAGATAGAAGTAGATTATTAATAGATGCACCATGTAGTATTTGTAGTAGTATGCAAGGCAATTGCAGTGCAACCAATTCCAGGAATACACCTTTCCTCATGGAGACGCACCTTGTTCTCTAGCCGAGGATCGCGATTTAATTAATGACCGAACCGGCGCGCACGAATTTGGATCGCAATTAAGATTTCATTGTGCAATTAATTTTATTAAGCAATTGCTTAATCCTCGCTGCATTCACGGATCTGCAAACGAAATTTGCGATCGGCGTGTGCATCCATCGACTCTAATCCAATCCCAATTTCCAGCTGTGCTATAATTTGATTATAAATAAATCGCAGCGAGCTTCGCTTCACTTGTGCGTGCATGTTGTTTTGGTTATTGGGAAACCCATTCATGAATAGGTGACGCAACATTGGATTCCCACATATAAAATTACACTTTCTAATAGTCCTAATACATCTATTAGCTGTATGTAGATTGGTATTTTTAATGGTTGTACTAGGGTGTTTTGGATGCGGAGCGGTCTCTTCTGATTCCGATCTGGATGGGAGGTCAAGAAGAAGAGCTTTCCACTGCGGAATGGAAATTATGAAACGAAGAGCCCTGAAATGAGTAGCCGTTGCCTGAGTGAAGCTCTTTCGTTCAACGGAACCGGTTCTTCCTCGTGGAGGACTGCTGCCAGCTGCGCAGCTGTCGTTCAACCTAATGCCCTTGTAAGGTAGAAATTTAAAAAGAAAAAACGCGCCACAGTCAAAACAAAATTTTTAAATTACACGATGCGGGACACCAGGTGATGCACGTATGCCACTGCGAAGAGAAGCACGTATTCATTTTCGGGGTTGATGGTCTTGTTGCCGTAATATGGTCTGCTGATAATCCTTGATTATCGTAATATATTTCCGGGAACGCGTGGAAAATCTGCAGAAACAGCAAACTTGCTGGCGCCGCTCTCCGCAATTATGTCGGGGTTTGCAGATCCGACTACAGCGATATTATAACAAAAAAAAATATATATATATATTATATATTGAGCATGTGCTGCTCGCATTCTCCTCTTGATACCTCATCCAGGATGGAACAAAAACTGTAACTTTTACTACAATGTTTGACTTGCGACCCTATTAAACTTTTTTTTACAGCTTCATACATTTCCATTCACATTTTACATATTTACTTAAGCGATTTTAGCGTTGCGTAAGTGCCCTTTTCACATTTGAATATTTGAACTATCGATCCTAATTATGCTGCCGTTGCATTTTACAAGCTACATTGAGTTTTCGTGTTTCCTCTTGTTTACAGAATCATAATTTTCATCTTCACACACCGTAAAAACACAGTTTTTGTACTATTTATATCACATAACGTCACGTCAATTAGACTTCATTTTAATAATTACATAACATAAATTTAACACATTTACACATTGGGAATCGGCAACGTTTCGTTTTAGTAATGCATTTTACATAAATATTCAAATTTCAATTATTACTTAATATTATACATAGATAAAAAAAAAACGGAATTATAACGTCATGCCATAAACCGACAAAGTTACGTCAAATATTAATCATTCATTCATATATTTACGAAACGTTACGGAACATCTTAGATTATTCAAAAGAATACTTTAACATAACTTAACATGTTGGCTTAATAGTAGTAATAACCGCAATCGCGATATACGTAAAGTCAACGTCATGTCACAAAATCGGCAACGTCACGTCAACTTTAACGTATTAATTAGTTTATGTAAGTTTCATTGTGTTGAACACATTGCATCTGTTGCATTTCCATTAATAATCAAAAAAATAACTTAAAATAGAACAAATCAAAAACAGTTTAGTGTCATTATTTTCTGCATAAGCTTACTATTTTACTTTAAATTTATAAAGTTTGAAACTTTTAAATGCAAACTACTATTTAATTATCATTACAAAATTCTGAGATTTTCTAGAAATAACAAAACAATTATTTACTAATGTTTGAAAATAAACATTTTATCTTTTTTTCAAAATTGAATCGTTGTATAAATATTGTATTTTTTGGTAAGATTCATGTAAAAAAAATTGTTATCACACTTGAAAATAATAGATAACTACTATTGTAGGAAATACGGACGTGACGTTTCCTTACATATTCTAAGCGAACATTGCAATTTGGTAATAAATCTGATGTGACGTTACCGGTACGTGACATACAGTGCGAATTGGTTAACAATTATTATTCGATTTAGCAAATTTCCAAACATGAACCGTAAATAATATAACACTTGATCAATTCCACGAAACAATTGAATCAACTTAACATGCATGAATAGGTCATTTTCATAGTTTGCATGTAAATTTATCTTATACTTATTCAATTATTCAAAACTGATCCTCATTGTAAGTCTATACAATTATGTACGACTTCTCCATATTATTTTTATCAATGCATTGTTGTGACTTGCACTAGAGGCAGATCGTCTAAAAATACAAGGTCAAATAAATCATTATACTTCAATACTCATTTCTGATAGTTAGGCAAATCTTAGTAGAATTAGAAGTTTTCACATCAGCTAAAGTTTATTATTTCTTTCTAATAATCAATACCTTGTTCTGACTTGCACTAAATAAAGGTTGAAAAGCAAGGTCACCTGAAAATAAATGATTGTACTTTTATTCTCAAGGTCGTTCCTGATGGTTAGGCAAATCCTAGTGGTACAAGATATAATCCATAAGAAGATTTCCAATTGGCGCCATCAACTAAAGGTCATAATGCCATATCGAGGTATTTGGTAGTTACAATTTATTTCGCAATGATTGCGTGGATTTTAATGTTGCTTCATAATCTTATACAGAAAGATGGTAATTCAAGGAAATCTTTGTTTATTAACAATTTATTTTAATAGCCTTAGTCATCATTAATCGCTGTATGTGTTTACTTTTAGTTATTTTCACGCAAATTGAGGAAATAATAAAATAAAATAAAAACTATTCTCATCTACACCTGTTCATGTAATTGCGAAATGGTCTTTTATAATCTCCGGTTCAGTTTTAAACGGAAGGTGTGAAATATTGGGTCATAGTCTATTTATTTGAAGTAACAATGAAAGATCGATAGAGAACCTTTGAACTGTAATAAAATAAGCACGTTTGTTTTGATTCGACGAACAAGACTTTTCGATTGGCACTAACATTGAAGTTATATCGTGAACTGCAGAGGTCCTGACCGGTGATTACGAAATGGAGTTCAATGGGTTACAGCTACAAAAGAATGTAGTACTATTCAAGACCCGCGAGATGTAGATTTAATTGTGCGATGCGTTTAGGATGGGATGGACAAAGGGCTTTATGGTTTGAACAAGAGTCCGGTCGATGGCCGCCTACTCGGATAAAACACGATAAGGATAAATCTGCGCGCTTTATTTATTGACCGCGTTTGATGGACGTGGAAAAATAGACTTCAATGATTAGCATTGGCTAATCTCGAAGGCACGCGGAGAGAATGATCCAAGGAGTCGGCTAAAAACGTAATCAATCCATGCAGATGCAAATATGCTAGGCACTCGTTCGTGTGCACCAAACCAACCTATAAATCACTGGAACTATTCTGCGTATCGATTTCGAAACGCACCAGTGATTGATTTAAAACCTCCAACAGTGCAGAGGAATACCATCTCATCCGATGTTAAATTGCGTCTCTCTACTACTCTAGGTTGATTTTCTGGATCTTTTTTTTGTGGAGGTTCGGCTGCGAAACGGGAAATCTAAGTTTAGAGATTGTATCAGAACAGAGTTTATCAGGGGTCACATTTTACTCTCGAACGAGTGTATGTGTGTATACCGAGACTTCTATACAAATACACAGATTATCTCTCATATTTATATTTTCATTTCATGGGAGATAAGAGGTCTACGCTACTTTCGTACCTCAACCTATAAAAGCTATACACAAAATCTTCACTCTCGATCTTCCAACATTAGAAACACAATAGATTTGAATTAAGTCAATTCAATTGTAAATATTATTTTTTAATAATTCCATAAGTTTATTTGAATATATCAAACACGTTTCATAATAAGAATTTTGTAAAATGATGTCAAAATCATAATACATTTTATATTTTCATTTTAAATAAATTAGTAACGTTGGCACAAATAATCATTACGTAAATTCATAAATTTGTCAATATTTTAGAAATTATGGTCATCAACATTGACATTTTTATGAAAATATTACATACTAATATTACATTATTATTAGTAACGATATTTAGAAATATTGACTAAAAAAGCAATAAATCTGTGAATATTTAATATTAAAATTTTATGATTAATTTTAGATTAATAAAAAAAATATAAAATTTAATTTATTAGCTTATTCTAACTCAAAATTGAATTGAGACAAAATTATTATGAACGTACGCTATAGGGGTGGCTTCTCAAATGTAATCAATTCAAACAAAATCTTTCAAGTGATGGAAAATTGTAACACAAATATAAAGTGTATCCGTTTTCAAGAAAGCTATTCTGCATGGCGTACGCCGCTCTTAATTAGCCTCACTTGTTGAGCAATTGCCATCCATTCCATCACGGTTGACTCATTTCATCCACTTAATTCGAAATCTAAGTGCGTTTTATTTTTGTTTATCATTGTTTATAATTAGAAGTATTCCTTACATTGCCTCCATACTGCGTGCAATCAAAATTAGCGCACTTCCTATTCGATTTATCTACACATGGCGTTGCTTATCAGGTGTAGTGTGGACACACCTTTATATCTATTTTTTTATCTACCGATAAACTAACATCAAT